GACTTGTTTGCCCACGTCTAACACAAGGGTCTGGGACGAGCGGGCTTCCACCTTTGAAGGTCCCAGTGGAGCAGCAAGAGGCCCTCCAGGAGCCTGTCTGGGGGAGGAAGGGGAGGAGCAGGTGTCACAGAGCACCGAGGTGGGTCAACGGGCTCCATTCCTGTCACGGCTGCCACACCAAGAACAAGGGGTGATCAGCATGGGGTGTGTTGCGGGTTCCTTCTGCCCAGAGGACCTCAAAGGCCATGAAGCAAGAGCTCAGCCAAAGAGTAATTCAGCACAGTGCGGGAGATGGGGGCGGAGGTGCCCCCGATGCCCGTCTCTGCAGAAATCCCCTTCTTTTCAAATGCTGAGTTGAAGTAAGGACGGGTTTGGAGAAGGCGGTGGGTGTGAATTGAACACTGACAGCCCACACAGCCTCACCTTCAGGGTACAGAGGGATCTCCGTCTGGCCAGGCTTTCAGAATCACCCAAGACACAGGCCTCGGTTTCCCCTGGGGCTCTGCAGCCGGCTATGCCAAGGTCTGGGCAGACAGCGTCCCTGGCCCTGCAGCTGGTGTGTGGGGGGAGGTGACAGGAAGCTGTGGGTACTCACGCAGGTGGAGGAAGATGACCCCCAGCTCCCGATTGTCCAGTCAGACCACAACACCTGCCACTTGCGATGGCTCTGCTTGTGTTTCAGAGACAGAGAGCCGGAATCATACGGAGACCCAGTTCCTTAAATGATCTTGATCAAAGTCAAGATGAAAGGGAAATTGACTTCTTGAAGCTTCAGATTGTCGAGCAGCAGAGTCTCATAGACGAGCTTTCTAAGGTGACCAGCTGTCCTGTCCGCGCCCGGAACCCCGCCCTGTGTCTCCCAGGGGTTTGGCTAATGGGAAGCCCTGGCAGGAGATGGGAGGGTCCCCCCACTGTGGTCCCTGCTCGAGGTGGCCCTCCCTTCGGTTCTCTGCTCCAGGCGTCTAGGAAGCACGTCCTACGCATTGCTCTGGACCTTGGGTTTTCTAGACCAGAAATGCCGCCCGTGCTAGTTTGTCCTCTCACAGTTATGGAGGCCACGAGTCTAAAGTCGAGGTGTCCGCAGGGCCATGCTCCCTCCGGAGGCCCATGGGAGGACCCCTTCTGGCGGCTGTAGCCCACATCACCCCAGTCTCTGCTTCCGGCTTCCCATGTCCGCCTCCTCTCTGTCTCTTATATGAGGGTCTCCAAAAAGTTCGTGGAAAGATTTATATTATGTTTTAATTCTGTTTTTCCACGAACTTTTTGAAAACCTGCAAGAGCACGATCTGCATTATCAATTCCATAAAGTGCTGTTTTCTTTTCCTAGACTCTGGAAACTGCCGGCTACGTGAAGAGCGTCTTAGTAAGTACCCAGTACCCATCGGTGTCCCCTTCCTCTCTGACACTCCTGTTGCTGGGGTCGCTGTCCCTGGGACCCGTTCTGCTCTGCTGGTTCCTTGCAGTCTAGACAGAAGTGGCCGTAGCAGTTTTTTGGGTGGATTTTGTTATCATAGTGCTACCTAACCAAAGCTTCACAGTGGTGACCAAGAACACCCGTTCATTGAGGTCAGACAGGAGCCAGGGAAATGGGAGATGGCCCATTGGGACAGCGCCCAGCCCCGATTACTTCTCTGTTTGCTAATGAAAGGCCACTCTGGGGGCGCTCACCCCACCACAGGTCTCTCCCCGGCCAGCACGGCCAGGCAGCCTTGCCCTGGCTGGTTCACTCTCATGGCCCGGAGACGCAGCCTGGCTTCCCTGGACATAAGGTCATTGATCTCCATGTGAGTGGAAGGGGGTCCGTGTCACACAGGTGTGGGTGCCATTTCTGCAGAGTATGGAGGGGGCCTGGCCATCCGCCCTTCTCCAGCCATCCAAGCTTTCAGAGCTAAATGCCCCGATCAAGGGCCTGATGTTTCAGGGTGTTTATGATCATACGAACAAGAAGCCAGTCTCGAAACCGTCTTCTCTGTCGGTCCAAATGATGACATGGAAATATTAAACTGTGTCTTCAAAACCCACAGAGGCATTCAACTACTTAAAAAATCTCTTCACCTGGTTCTTGCAGGAGCGTGATAAGCTTTTAAG